AATTAACATCTAAAATCAAAAAAATTACCAGTGCTAGGAATCCATTTTATTTGTAATCTATCATTCTTGGCTAAATGAAAGTTATTGGCACTCTTTGGGAAGAAAATAAACTAATTCATAAAAGGGATGTTAGAGAAATAAGAAGGGGAAATTTTAGTTTTAAGCAAACATAAAAGATCCAAATTTTATTCCTTAATAAGATGTTTACGGTCAGAAATACGAATATCATTGTTAAGACATCTAACGTTTCAACAAAAAAAAAAAGAAAAAAAATGGAATCAGTAAAGAAAAGAAAAGCATAAAATAGACAAAAATTTATTAGCGATAAGAACCAGTCCCTTTAGACCTCCCTTTCTTAGATTTTAGAAGGTAACATAACAAACAAGAAGTGAAGAATTACCAGCAATAAAAACCACCACATTAGTCAAACTAGATGCATTGCCGGAATAACTAAAAATATTAACTGTAGAAGAAAATGAATTACCAACAACCGTAAAATTACAAACAACAGGAGAAATAGTGGAAGATGAGTTATTGTTACTTCTCCCAACCAAAGAACTATCCCTTTAAATATTTTGAACAGTAATATTGATAGAATTAAACTTGCTCAAAACAACATTTAGATCAAAACTTTGATTACTATCCTCAGATTGAACAACGTCTTGTTTTATCACAACTAAATACTTAGAAATAGTAGCTTCTTATAATATAATGCTCAACAACAGGGATAACTTCACCGTATTCTTCATCAAATTTCAATGCTATTTTGTAGTAATGACAGGAACATCAAGATTAGAAGGGGCATTTAACACTAAAATAGTATTTGACTTAGGAACATGAATTGAAACAAAATTAATATCATTCCTTAGAGCATTACAAATAGGATAATTCCTATTAGTATTCCTTCCATGAAAAACAAGTTTAATAATAACCACTAGAGCATTAGAAAACTTAGGACAAGAAGCAGGATAATAAGCAAAAGTAAGACAAGTTTTACAGAGAGTTGGTTTCCATTTAGACATGATAGGTAAACTAATTTCTTGACCTTTAATATCAATTGAATGGAATCGGAGAGTAAAGAGTCAATTCCCACTTGTTAAAAATCTCAATTTTGCAAGCAATTTTGGATATACCCATTTTCGACCAACAACATAATGAAAGATTAGGAAATTTGACCTAAATAAGAACTTCTTTGAAATCTTCCCTAACATATTTAAAATTATGTGTCCGTTTTTTAAAAATGAATGACTTGTCGTAAATAAACTAAGGCACTGCGGATAAAATCATATCAAAATCTTCCACTCGATTAAACTTAAAAGGGAACAACTCCTCTGCAAGCGATAAAAAGATCAATTGATCCTTTGAGTTTTCATATTTTTTTAAAATAACTTGCAAAAGGTTACAATCAGTGGTGTAGGCGAGGTGAGTTGAGCTTGAGCAACCCTCGACTTGAGCTTGAGCTTGATTAATTAATTGTTCGTGCTCGAGCTTTAACTCTAGGAGTTTGAGTCAGTTCACGAGCCAACTTGTTTAGTAAGAAATAGAGAATAAATGTTGATTTAGGTTAATATTATAATAAAGTTATAAATAAAATGAACATTTAGAAGACAATTAATCATAATAACATAATATAAAATATAAAATAGCATTTTTATAAATATTTTTAATAATTTAAACAAAAGTTCCTGAATTTTAATATAATTAATATTTTTATTAATTATTTTTTAAACGAGCAGGCTAACAAGCTGATTAGTTGAGTCGGGGATGGCTTGAGCTTGGCTTGTTAGCTCATCGAGTTCAGTTATCGAGTCAAACCCGAGTCAACTCATAACTTGGCTTGGCTCACTTACACCCCTAATTACCATAAAACGGACATCTTCCCAAAGCATAGCCAACCCAAGAGAGATTCTACCACTTTGATCCCTCATCAATTCCTAATGTTCATGAGAGATTCTACCACTTTGATCCCTCATCAATTCCTTGATCTCAAAAAATAACTTTCTTATGTTCACATGAAAAAAATGACATATTAAAGTAGTTTGAAGCAGAAGGATTGAGAAAAATAAATTTTTATTTTTATTTTATTAGAAGAAATAAGTTTCAAATGAGGGAATGTTTAAGGTTGATAGATGATGGAAGAGAAATCAAAAAAAGAGGAAAGAATGTGGTATCTATTGGAAACTAAAGGGCTAAAAAAAAAATCATGTGAGGATGAAATTCTAACTATTTCCTAAGGGAAAGGGAAAAACTTACCTCAAACTCAAGCAAATATTGATGAATTTCTCATACTCTAAGATGGTGCTTGGCTGCAACTATGTTTTGCCTTAAATATAATTTATTAAATCAGATAAATTCAGATTCATAATTCTTCACTGTTGGATGCAAAATTGTATTGTGAATCTCGCCAAAGAAATAGAGTGTCGCATGAAAGAAGAAAGAAAGAAGATTTGAACGCTTTGTTTTTTTAGTGAGAATTCCGTTCTGAAACGTCTTTCTTGAAAATGATCCTCCTACTTTAGTTCATAAGTAGTATATGCTAAATTACATGGTTGTCCTCATTTAAAAAGGGAATGTTACTATAATTAAAGAGACATTACATTTATACATTTGTAACTGAACAATATTTATTTTGACCCCGTAACTGCTATTAACACTGCTATATTTGTGTGACCACCTTAAACAATATTTCACATTCTTAACAACCCAATTTAGTTGCTTGGAATTCATTTAGCCTACTAAGATTCATTCAGTTGATCAAGCATCCTTCGGTCGACATAATGATCTTCAATCTCCCACTCTACGAAGATAGAAAATGAAGACACATCATCCTCGGATATGATTGTTTTAGTCGGTACAGAGTGAATCACCATAATCCAATAAGCTGTCTACATTCAGTCAATATGTCTATACTGAGGAATCTCATCCCAGCCGACTGAGGATTTTCATGATGGTAGTTATTGGGAAGTAAGTACTAACGCGGTTCTGCGACATTCGACAGGTCGTTCATTCTCTCTAGTCGGTTGTCTTAAGAGACCTATCAATTGCATGGTGAAAAATTCATATTTTTTACGTCTCAAATCACCTCCTTGAGATTCGTGCAAATGCATTCCTGTTGTACACTCACAATCAACAATGAAATAAATCTCACACATGTTCGGATTTATGAAATCTAGATTCTCATCATAAAAATAATAAAACGCAGGAAAAAGTAACAGAACACGAGAAAATTATTGTTAACGGGGCATTGGAATTTTTTTAAGGATATTTGATTGGATTTAAATTAAATTTAAGAGCATACTGCCGAAGGAACCTTGAGGCCTCTCTCAAGCTTGTTTGGAGCGGCGTCCCAATTCAGTCGCATTGGATGAGAAGCAGGTAAACCACAAAATGCTGTTTGGTGAAACAACATTTCCTGAGTATTTGCCCACGCTCAACCGTTAAGAGGATATTTTTTGTCATTGTAAGAATTAGTTTCCTTCATTCAAGAATGACAAAGCTCCCTCGAACGTGGCCAAAAGAAACCATTTTGGACATCTAATTTGTTTTTATCTATTTCTTTTAAATGAAGAATTATTTTGATTTATTTCTTCAATTAAGGGTCCATTTGGGGAGGAGGTTTTTGCGCGGCTCAAGGAGTGGTCGTGAATCACGATCATTTGGGGCGGAGGTTTTTGCGTGACGGGATGCCTTTTTGGCAGAACGTGGGCCATGGATCGAACCTTGCGACCCGTGTTCAAGCTATGGATTATTACCTCGGTTACCCTTCGTCGCAGCAGAGATGTGGGAGAATCTAGAGAAGGAGAAGCGAGAGATGCGAGAGAATCCAGAGAAGCGAGAGATGCGGGAGAATCGAGATGGCTATGTTCCGTTGCCATTGCTGAGAACTCCCATTTCTCCGTCGTGGGAGGAGGCAGTAGGCAACATCGCTCACGATTCGCCCTCTTTCCCATTACCTCTGTCGTGGGATAGGTATGCAATCCATGCATTTCCAACATCTTAGTTAGTATACTTAGTGTTATTTTCTTCTTAATTGGTTTTATCGGGGTTGTTTGGTTGCAAGATATATTGCCAAGATTTAGAAAGTATTTTGGTAAAATGAGCTACATTGTTCCTATCGCTTTCTTAAATTGCAATTTACTCGTATACCTAAAGAAATCGGATAAGCATGCAATCCATGCATTTAACAAGTATCTATGCTAAAATTTGGATTTAATTGGTCCCAGGGTTGTTGAATATAAGAGAATTATATCACTTTTTTCTCACCGTGCCCTTTTTTCTCAGGTAAATGCTAAATATTAAAAGTACTGGCCAAAGTGTTTACTATTGGTTAACTATATTTTTTGCACTTCATGCCAAACTGTTTTCAATATTTAATGCATCTAAGATTTACTAAATCTTGTATGAATTAATCCAACTTTAGCAAAACAATACCAAAGTATCACAATAACTATCACCTTTTTGGGAGGCGCCTTACATTTTAAATATAATGCAAAAGAAAAAAAAAAGAAAGAAAACATTTCTTTAACAAATAAGATGGAGAAGATATAAGCTTGACACAAAATAGTTCTGTTAAGTGAGTATATTTTCGGTACTCTATATTAAGTGAATGGTGTATCTGAACTTCTGTTCTATTTTGAAATGAATTTCTGTTTCTGAAGTATCAAATATGTCGCAGTCACAGTTTTGTTTTAAACATTCTGACTAAACATGAATAGTTGTCACACAGCTACAACAAACATACAGTCAGCTTTTGCGCAACAACTTCTCCATTCAACACAATTATTGAACAAATATAATTTTCCAAATCTACAAGCACCACACGAATCATCTGTGTGTGTGGCTCGCTCTGGGCATTTCCCACTCGCCTCTTCACGTGCAATGACAAAAGATCATAGCTAGCGCTAGGGTTCTCCCCGAATGGCTACAGAGCTAAAGGATTTCGTTAGAAAAAGACCAAATCGGAAGCTGCGTCCGTATGCGGATCCGCATGTAATAATTTTTCGTGTGTGTGGCTCGCTCTGGGCATTTCCCACTCGCCTCTTCACGTGCAATGACAAAAGATCATAGCTAGCGCTAGGGTTCTCCCCGAATGGCTACAGAGCTAAAGGATTTCGTTAGAAACAATGGATCCCACAGTTCGAACGATGACTCGCCTGGCGTCGGACCAGACCAGTCAGGGAAAGCCGAGCAGCCGTTGCTCGAATCGGAATCAACTACCTCAAAATCACAGTCGGCAGGCTGCATCGTCTCTGCGAATCTTGATGACATGGAGAAGAAGTATGCTGCCTTCGTGCGGAGGGATGCGTACGGCATCATGGGACGTGGGGAGCTGCCGATGGTGGAGAAGTTCCTGCTCGGGATCGCGATGGTGACGCTCGTGCCGATCCGACTTGTTGTGGGGATATGCATCTTGGTGATGTACTATGTGATCTGTCGGTTCTGCACTCTCTTTTCGGCTCCGAATGGAGAGGACGAACAGGAAGACTACGCGCACATGACTGGGTGGAGGAGGGATGTTGTCGTGCATTGTGGGAGGTTTTTATCGAGGGCCATGCTGTTTAACTTTGGGTTTTATTGGATCGAAGAGACTCGATTGTATTTGTCTGAGGTATTGTTTCTAAGAAGCTTGTTTTTTTTTCTTGTTCACCGAAGGTTTTCCTTAATATATCCCCCATTTCGTTTAGTTTTGCAATTTGATGTGTCTATGATCTTTTGATTGTTCGACTACGAAATTTTAATTTCTTGAACTTTGAAGGGCATCATCTTTTTTGCGATTGTAGCCTTTTATCATTGAGGTAGATAAGTAAGGTAATCAAATCTCAGATTCTTGAATTAAAGTTACTAGGCAGAATTGGGAGGCAAGGTTGTGCTGTGATGCCATGAGAAGCATGATTGTCCTATCAGATCTTCCGGAATATTTAGCTGTGAATAGTTGGCACCTTTCTGCTGCATACTTATTGAACGCCTTCAAATATTTCAATCTATGATCATTCCTGTGCATAGTGGCTAAACTTCCAACAAAGGGCAAAGTATGCTGCGATTGTAGTTATGAGTCGCTTTTACTTCTAGATACTGAATATGCTTAAAAATAGTGAATTAGTGGAACAAGTTATGCATTCTTATACTAGTAGTAAGTTGTGATAAAACGACTTGATTTTTGTTCACGTTTTTTTTTTGGTCTTCAAAAATGTTACTTTCATTTTTGTAAATGCCATATATTAATACTTTGTTGCTCTATACTCTTCATTAATCGACATAGCATACAAATTTCCTCTGTAGTAGTTTTTATTTTACATAAATGAAATTTTTTATTAGTATCAATGTGATTTTTTAAAGCCTATGTTATATTTCCATCTCTATACATTCATCTTATGAATAATAATACGGATTACCATATAATTATCACCTTTGAAATATCCTTAATTCCTAACTACTTATACCAATATCCTTAATTCTAACTATTATACCAATAGCCTTCTTCTCCGATCATTTTGTGTCTTTTCAATATTCAAGAATTCATGACAAAGTTTTGTTAACTAAAAATTTCCCATCACTCATCAAATCTCAATAACCATCTCATATAGATCTAAAATTTGAATTTAACTTATCTTTTTCAAAGCAATCTCAGCATTTTTTTTTTCTTGATTCTGCCCTTTTTGCTTACTTTATAATAGAATTCATTGATTATTATTATGCCACATACAAATAACATATAATAAGATTGCTCATTAAAATTGTCTTTTATAAGGGTTCCCATAATCATTACAAAAATATATATTAAAGCTAATTTTTTATGTAATTCTGCTATGCTTAAAAATTTTTGTATTCTAACTATTAGTATTAATTTTTAGCCATTATATGCAAACTAAATAAGTTTTATTTAATTTTGTGGCACCTTTTTTTTTTCTTTGGTGCTCTTCAAATCCTCATGCTCGATGATTCTTTTCAATTTTAGTAAATTCCATATGTGAATTTTTTTGTTGCTCTACACTTCTCCTTAATTGACTTAGCATAAGAATTGATTTCATAATAGATTCATTGCATAATCCAAATTATTTCTTTAATATAAATTTTATTTTTCAAAGCCTATGTTCTATTGCCAACTCCCATATATTTATCATATGAATTATTAGTTGGGTTATCATTTAATTCTATTCTTTGAAATCGTCTTGATTCTGCACATGTACCAAAATCCTTCTTCTCCAATCATTTGGTTTAATATTCAAGATTTATGAAAAGATTTGTCAATCAAACTATTCTAACATTTCCTATAACTCTTCAAATTTCAATATACATCTCATATTGAACTAAAACTTTCATTTCACTCATTTTCTCTGAAGCTAACTCAACTTTCTTGAAAATCAATCTACAGTGGATCCATGATTGTCTTTTTCCTCTTTGCAAGAAATTTCTTCATTAAAACTTTCATTTCATAACTCACATAGCATTTATTTCCTTTAATATCTTCATATTCAATGAATGTCCTTTTTAATTTATTTTTAATACATCTATATACATCAAACCTCTACAACAACAACAATAACAAGCCTTTATTCCACTAAGTGGGGTTGGCTGCATGAATCCTTTTCCCCATTGCATCCTATTGAGTGTCATTTATACGTCAAACCTCTAAATCCCTTTTTTTTCCCTTGTCTTAGTTATTTTATATTCTCCTTTTGTCATTTCTAACATGCTAGCCAGAAAGACCTATATGTTTTGCTCTTTACTACCCATTTGCATTTTAGCCTATTTGTGAGAGGTGTATGTTTCAACAGTGCTTTGCCTTGCCAGCATCTCAGAGCACATTTCTATTGGGAATTATTGGGATGCCTTATCGGTGTATCTGGCATGTTGGTAATGAGCATTTTACTATTTAAATATGGATATATCAATATAAGGAAGAATTTCAGCTTCTAGGACATTAAAAACTCCCATATACATTCTAAGTAATTTTAGTGATAATTTTAATGCATTGATAAGCAGATTAAATAAACCATTCCTCCATCTAATTGGTTCTTACTGTTTTAGTACCCTTTATAAGAAGAGATTGCCTCAGTTTTTTTGTAAATTATTGTTTCTATGGTGGTGTTATTTGAGCCCAGGATGTTGCCATACACTATCATGACATGACCCATTGCAAATTTTATAGCGACCTTCTAACGATTGATTGCTATTTTATTGGAGAAACCAGCATTACACTGCTTCAGTTGATTAGAAAGCTGTCTCAACTATAAATTTGCTAACTGATTATTTTGACCAACTACCATGATAACTGGACCTGCCACACATTATTACTACGATCTATTGCATATTCTTAGTGTTATTGTGCTTAGGATCAGGCAAATTTTCTGTTTTGTGAAGTAAATATACCCGATGTGAAATTTCACTTTATTTATCCTTTTATAGATTGAATTACACATGAACTTACTTCCTCTCTCTATGAGTGAGGGCTGTGCATGAGTTTTTAACTCGAACAATAGCTTTTGTGATAGAAAAATAGAAGAAACAACTAATTGCATTCTTTTTTCTTTCTTGTGATTCTGTTAATTGCCAGATATGTTTATATTTAGTTCTACCTTTTGTGTTTAATAATTGTGTTCTTTAAGTAAATCTTGCATAATTATTGGAAGAATGAGTAGTATGCTAATATGAATAGTGTATTTTGACACTCAAAAGTTGATTACTACCTGTTTCTCAAGAATAAGCTTATACTCAACTGTGCTGTATATTCTGGGCTAAATATGCATCTATTTTTTTTCCTCTTCTTTCAGGATGAGCAAAGTGAGCAAACTGATGAATTCAAAAGAGCAGGGGTGATTATATCGAACCATTTATCGTATTTGGATATCCTTTATCACATGTCATCTTCTTTTCCAAGCTTTGTTGCAAAGGTAATCCAGACGATATTTTGTTTCTTTGTGGGTTTTAATGTTTGCTGTCTGTAGAAGTTGTTTCAATTTGCAAGGTTAGCCTGACATTTTGTCCTTTTTTCTTGTACAAATGGATGTTTTCTTTGACGAATGAAGAGATCAGTAGCCAGGCTTCCTCTTGTCGGGATAATTAGGTTAATTCCTACTTGAGTATATGAATGAATTTTTTGTTCATTTGGCTGTAGTGCAATTATTTATGAAGGTTCTCTTTTGATGCCTATTATTCAATATAATTTTATTTTCACTCTCTGTCATATGCTATACTTTCCGAGCTGAGCACTGCTATGACGAGCTAAATGATTTTGCTGTCTACTTTCTTTTCTGCAGCAAATGCCTTGGCTGTGTCTTTGTACAGAGAGAGTCGAAAGCTTCTGATTTTAAGGGCGTTTCAGGTATACAATCAGGAATTATTTACCATTTTATGCATCCATCTTATACTATGTGATTTTTTCCCAAGGATGAGGAAATGTAGGTTCACTGCATGTACGGATCTTTCCTTGTCCATTGTGCCCAACAGGTTCTTGTTCTTGGTTTGTTCATATGTAAGTAATCTTAGTAAGAAAATTCATCCAAGTGAAATAAGTTAAGCATCCAAGTGAAATATGTTAAACGATAGTTCCAATCTTGCGCTTTAGGAATCCAACACTGTAGAATTACATGGATGACAGTGAAGAACTGATGGATAAATTGAGATGAGCTGAACTTATTTTATAAATTTAGGGCTAAGGTAATGTTTTTATGTTTTATGAAATTCGCATTTTATATCATGAAATGCCTACATAATTTGCCGGTTGAGACTTGTACTCATCAAAGCTTATGCCCTTTTTTTTCCTCTTTTGTTGCCAACTCATTGATCCATGGGATCCCTAATGCTTACTCGTCAATTTATGGGCATTTGCAATTATTCTGTAATTATTCTATCAAATCCCTAGCATCTTCTCATCAATTTATGTGCATATGTAATTAATTTGTAATTGTTCTATCAAAGCATCAATCTGTAGACCATTATAAAAATTATATAGTCATTATTTTTTTTTTTGATTTTATATGTTTCCTAGTAGGTCTATTTTTTTGTTTGCGTAAATACTACACAACCAATTATTTCCAATTACTGTCATGGTATTAAAGATCTTAATTTTATTTTCCTTTGGATCTTCATTAGGATGACCTTCATTATTACATTATCATAATCCCATGGTCTTCATTGTTGCAATTTTTCTTTTCTACATTTTTTTTTAATTGCAACATTCATCACTACATTTTTTGCAAACATATCTTATAATTGCAGCCTTTACGGTTGCATTGTTGCATTATTACTTTTTTGCCATTACTATTTTTCTTTGAATTGAATTATAGGTTTTTTCTCCATGTATAATAATAACAATACCTACCCACTTGATACGATTCAGAACCAAAATCAGGGAGCAAACAACATCGAAATTGTAATGGTTAGGTGGAAAAAACTCCAACGGGGGCTTCTTTTACGAAAATTCAAGAAAAACAAGAAAGATACAAAGGTGATATACTGTTTGAAAGGCAGGTCGATTCTCTAAAACCCTAGACGTCACTAGTGCACCACAAGAAGAAAAGAAATGCTGCAACCAAAACAAAACATGCAAAAGAAAACACAAACCCTAGATTCTTCGTCTAATATAATCCTATCACAACTTCCCCCCAAACTCTTCTAATTTCTCCTCTTGTCATAGGGCCCCTCCTGCTCGTTGGCTCCCCTTGACACTGCTCCTTGTCACACCTTCCTTATTTGCACCACTCGACTCCTATTTGCTCGAGTGCCGCTCTGTTGCTCGATCGGTCCAGGTGAAACCGGTTGAGTTACAAATGTAACAATACTCCTCTCCACAAGAACCACCTTATCCTCATGGTGAAATGACGGAAACTGCCTTCGAATCACCTCATGAGGCTCCTATGTTGCTTCATACTCAGGCAGATCCTTCCACCTAATAAGTACCTCATTTTCTCCCGCTCCTTCTTGGTGCACTCTTTCGACATCTAAGGGTTCCAACCTCACCTCCATGTCCTTTGTCATTATCGTGGGTAGTGACGACGAGGGTGTATGATCTCCGATCGCATGCCTTAGCTGTGAAACATGGAAGTATGGATGTAATGCTGACGATAGTGGTAACGTAAAATAGTAGGCCACTAATTCTATGTGTTTCGTCGCCTCATAGGGGTCCAAAATACTGTGGTGAAAGTTTCTCTCTCCTCCGCTCGACCATGATCTGCTGCCTGTAGGGCCTCAGCTTCAAGTAGACCATGTCCCCTGGTTTAATCTGCACCTCTCTCCTATGTACATCTGCGTTTCTTTTCATGATCTATTGAGCTCTCAATAGATGCCCCTTGAGCTCTGCCAATGCTCTGTTCCTCTCCAATTATTGGTCAACATTTGACACTGATTTATTACTATGCCTGTAGTGTATCAGATGGGGTGGATCCCCTCCATACAATATCTTGAAATGAGTGGTTTGCGTTGCAGTATGATATGAACTATTATCCGATACGAAACAATGTTGGTATGTCTCCATACTCCTGTTGACCATCTCCGTCTGATCATAGGTCTGAGGATGATATGTTGTGTTTCTCTTGATGTTTGTTCCTTGTAATCCAAACAGTTCCATAATTGACTGAGGAACTTCTTGTCCCTGCTATTACTATCAATTTCGACACTGTGCAAATAAACCACTTCTCGCATGAACACCGTAGTGATTTTTACTGCAGTGTAGGGGTTTTGTAATGGAATGAAATGTGCATACTTGCTCAAACGATCCACAACTATTAGGATCGCTGTAAATTATTCTAATCACGACAACCCTTCTATGAAGTCCGTCAATACTTCTTTTCAAACTTTTTTTTGTAATGTTAAAGGTTGTAATAACTCACCTGGCACCATGGTCAAGTATTTACGTCATTGGCACACATCACACCCTGCCATAATGCCTTTTACTTCTTGTCCCTGCTATTACAATCAATTTCGACACTGTGCAAATAAACCACTTCCCGCATGAACACCGTAGTGATTGTTACTGCAGTGTAGGGGTTTTGGAATGGAATGAAATGTGCATACTTGCTCAAACGATCCACAATTATTGGGATCGCCGTAAATTATTCTAATCATGACAACCCTTCTATGAAGTCCGTCGTCACTTCTTTTCAAACTTTTTTTTGTAATGTTAAAGGTTGTAATAACTCACCTGGCACCATGGTCAAGTATTTACGTCATTGGCACACATCATACCGTGCCACCATGCCTTTTACATCTCTGTGCATCCCTACCCAGTAAAGCTCTGCCATTAGACGCCTTTGTCTTCTGCACCCCAGAGTGCCCCTCGATTGCCCCTCGATTGTGCTGCCATGAAAATCCTGCAATAGTCTGAGGATGTACTCTGATGCTCATGGTATCACGAGCTACCCCTAATAGAGTAACTGCTGTCTCCTCAAGGTATATCCCAGGTGACTGTTCGGATTCTGTAGCAACTATGCCAGTATTTTCCTCCGTCCTTTATTTAGCTCGCTCTCCCGTATCAGTGCTTTCCAATCGAGGACCAAGGGTACCGATAAGGCCGTCAGTTAGGGCTCCTCCACTTTCCTCGACAGGACATCTGTGCCTTTATTCTCCAATCCTGACTGTTACTGGATCTCGAAATCGTATCCCAACAACTTGGATAGCCCCCTCTAATGCTCCTCAATCACTATTCTCTGCTCCAACAGGTACTTCATGCTCCCGTGATCTGTCATGACAATAAGGTGTCATCCCAAAAGGTAGGGGCAACACTTATGAATGATCAAGACAATAGCCATCAACTCCCGCTCATATACTGACTTGAGTCTCGCCCTTGACGTTAACACCCGAATGAAGTAAGCAATTGGTCGCTGATCCTGCATTAGTATTGCTCCATATATGTATCCTGATGCATCCGTCTCTACCACAAATGATCTATTGAAATCTGGAAGTGCTAATACTAGTACATTGGTCATGAATCTCTTTAGATGTTAGAAGGCCTATTTTGCGGCTTCCCCTCACTAGAAATTGTCTTTCTTTAGCTGCTCCGTCAATGACCATGCTATCGTGCCGTAGTCCTTCACAAATTTTCGGTAGTATTCAGTGAGACGTAGGAATCCCCTTAACTCCTTCAAGCTTCTAGGCAAAGGCCAGTCTATCATAGCCTCAATCTTGGATGTTTTCCACTACTTCTGCTCGAGTCACCACATGCACATTGTACTCCATCTGTAGCTGTGCGAATGAACTTTTGTTCAAATTGGCGTACAACTGGTGCTCCCTCGACTTCTCCAAAACTATCCTCAGGTGCTCTACATGTTCCGTTTTAGTATGACTGTAGTTCAAAACGTCATCAAAGAAAACCAGAACAAATTTCCGGAGGTGATGTTGAAAAACCCTATTCATGAGGGACTGAAATGTGCTTGTGGTGTTGGTGAGGCCAAACGTCATCACCAAGAACTCATAACGTTCTTCATGTGTCTTGAACGCTGTCTTGTGTACATCTGTTGGATTCATACTGATATGGTGCTATCCCAACTTAAGGTTATTTTTTGATGAGTACCCCATAAAGCTCATCCACACCTCATCAATTACACGAATATGAAACTTAACCAACACCATATCCTTATTCAAAGTCTGGTAGTCCGCACAGAATCTCCAACTACCATATTTTTTCTTCACCAACAGGATTGGACTAGAAAATGGGCTCATGTTAGGTCGGATAATCCCGGTTTCGAGCATCTCTCGGAACACTGATAGGGGAACACCTTCCTTTAATGTGATGACGTGCTCGTGCTCCCTCAGAAGTGGTAACCCGCTTGGCTATTTAAAGACGTTCGTAAAGTGCTCTGCCAACTCCGGTTCTCAAACCTCTTTAATGCTCTGCAACTCCATCAAGTTGCCCGACCCTTCTCGTTGTATTGACCTGACCATGATTTTGAGCAACACCATAGTTTTACATAAATTGACATCTTCTCTCAGCATTGCCTTCATACCCTCCACTTGGAACTCCATTGTTAGCGATTTCCATTCCACTTTCATCTCCCCAAGTGTTCGCAACCACTTCATTTGCAAAATGACATCTGTGTTGCCCAAATTCAAGAGAAGGAAGTCCTCCACCATTCGTAGACCATGTAGTGTTAGAATCCAACCTTTGCAAATGCCTTGGCTTTTCTCCTCATTTCTTGTCCTCATCATGACATTGAACCTCCCTGTAGTCACCAACTCCAACTCTAGCTGATCCACAACCAGATTTGAGATGAAGTTATGTGTTGCTCCGCTATCCACTAACACAATCGCTCTTTCCCCGATCCACCTTACTTTCATGGTGTGATTTGGAGAAATCCCACCACCAAATTGAGGGACACCTCCGCTACA